TGGTTTTCTGTTATTTTTGGGTCTAAATCCAATGGGCCTTTTACTTGCAGTCCAAGAAAAAATTATATTCTTTTTAAACTTCCTTTAATTTAGAAAATTAATTATTATTTTTAATTCATACTAAATTCGTCTAAACTACAAAGTAAAGTTTTAAACTTACGAGTGCGAGTATTCAAATTTAGAGCAAAGTACAAGATGAGAAAATCGAATTGGGTGCTGATGCAGATCAGTTCGCCGATGCCTTTATTGAATCATTGGGATAAAATCAATGACTATAACCAATCAGAAGAACTTAATAACAGACATTAGTAGCTCTTAATAATAGCCACGACGTTTTGGACATTTTTTGGTTGATTGGATTACTTTCTTTATGTAATTTTCAGTTTTTTGTCATTTTAAGTTTGTTGCCATTTTAATTTTTGAATGTATGTTACAAAATGGTTATACATACCACCACTTTCTGTAAGATGAATGAGGTTGGACATTTTTGTTGGTGAATGAAATATTTAGAGAGATTTCTATCTCATATTTGTGTTTTTCTCTTGTTTAAGAGTATGCTGCTTTATTATTTCTAGTGTCTACATTGTAGGCTAGTACTAAAACCAAAGTTTATAGGGTTTTCAGGCATCTCCTTACGCTAGGAGATAGTAGACCTTACCTATCCATTATATCTATCATTTTATTTTGTTTCTATCCGCTACACCTTGCATCATTAGGCGTCCCTTGCTCCAACCGACTAGAATTGATTCCATAATTTCTTGTATTTCATTTTTACATTCCTCTACAAAATTATAGTTCTCTTTTTTTTTTTCCTAATTTTCGGTGTACGTCTATACCTCTCATCATGTAACGAGTGACGAGAGACTCAGAGAGATATATAGTCAGGGATAGCCAAGAATCTTCTGTATGATGAGGTTAATGTAACTCATTAATTTAATTCACCTTGAAACCGAAAAACCAAAAAGGCACCAGCATCATACATATTTTTGTCGATTACAACTGGATCTATTTTTGAACTACGAATTTGGGTAACAAATACAAAATTAAAAACTGAAAAGGAGTAGGATTAAGATAACTATAAAACTTTTGAGCTCGACTGTTGACAAAATCTGCTGATCACCGTAGCTGATTTCCTTAGAACATGAAGTCAGCAACAACAAAACAATAAAACTTTATAGTTATCTTTATCCCACTATGTGGAGTCGACTGATCTTCCTTGAACAAGAAAGCTGACTTCGGATCCATGCTTTCAGATCAAGAAAAAAACTTCTATTTCCTGTTGAAGTTTGTGCAGGAAAGGAAAAAAAATAACAAGTTTGATTAAACTTGCAAGTTCAAACAAAGTCCAATGAACCCCCAAAGAAACCTGGTTTAAGAGATGAAGAGAATTTTGGCAAACCTTTTGTTCGGTTTTGGTGGGATTAGTCCTCTTTTTTCGAGGCTCTTGAACCGATCCTTGACAAGGGTGGAACAACCCTTTTGGGAAAAAATGAAAGAAGCAATTAGACTTCCCCCCAGTCTTGTCTGAACACAAAGAAAAAGAATGTAAGCAAGAAAAGTGCGTTGTACCTTTAGCTTACGGAGGGATCCAGTTATTTCTTCAGACAAGAGGACTTGAATCGGGGCAGGCTCGAACCTGTAATAGAAGGATTACAAAAAGGAAGATAAAAACAAAAATGATACTAAAGGCGTGAGAGAGAAAGCATTGCTTAAGACATACTTATGCTTTCCCAGTCGTGGGGGACATGACTTTCGTTTTTCTTCCTTAGCTACAACTTGTCGAAGATGTCTTTTATGCCTCTCCTCGTCCTCTTTAGCTATTTCCTCAATGATATCTGGTAAGCTGTGACCAAGGGACAAAGCAATTCTTAGAGTGTAATCTTCACCAGCGTACTCTAGAGACAAAAGTTGTATAAGTAATAACCCATCAATTTCTTTAGAAAGCTTCTTGGCCTCTCTCGCTTCTGCTTCCTTTTTAAGCTGTTCTTTACGCCTAGCTCTCTTATTTAAGACGACTGTTGTCACCCTCTTTGTTTTTAAAGGCCTGCACCATGTTTTTTCAAGCAACATGAATCGTGGCATTTTAGTTTTGATGGCCTTATGATGCATGGAACAGAATATTAGCAATATAAAAAAAAAAATTGGGCTCACCTTTTCTCGGATGCAGCATCCCCATTCTCATCCAAATTTTCTTGATTCATATCATCATCAGTGCCTTCATCTGCCTCGAGAAAATACATCTAATAAAGTAGATTGGTCCCGTAAGGTTCACAGTTATGTACAAAAAAATTAAACTAACATAAAATATTTGTCGTTATGACTTCATGTCTATCTGGTTTATTGTGACAAAAATGATAGGAACAAAAGACACTCACTTCTTCTTCATCAACAGCCTCCCCAGGAACGGTTAAAGGAACCGGTTGAGCTCCTAGCTCTTTTTTATAGACTTTCCCCATTTCTTCTGCAACAGCATGAGCCAATGTTTCCTGGATTGAGAAAACGAGGCAAAGATGAGAGAACTTTACGCCATACAAGCTAAAAGGTTAACCAAAAAAAAGTACCAAATGGCAGATATTAAGAAATTACCTGATGACTTTCAAATGTGGGATTGAATGAGGATCCCGGAGGCTCAACTTCTACGGCAGGAATAATTGATGGCTTCTTCATCTTCAAAAATTCAATAAAATCTATCAACTAAGAGCCATGGAATGTTTGCTAAAACTGTGACTATTCAAACAATAACACAGCAGCCAAATGCTGCTTCAGATTCTATATGACTCCTAGATAAGATGCGATCCATGATGCATCTTAGCGCATTACCACTAGTGGAATTAGAGTTACAGAAACAGACAAGAACCAATATGAACAACAATATGATCATATTCTTGAACTTAAACGACAAGCCTTACCTTCTTGGTTTTTTTGTTGTCGTCACCTGCGTGAGAGTTAAAAACAGTCAATGTAATGCACAGAACCGTATAATAAAAGAAAAAAAAAGTAATAAAATAGTGGAAACAATGCCATAGATGTTAAGGTTGAGGAACCTGTATATCCCCATAAGTCAGCCATGCCAGAATGTGAGACAGAACCCTGTGAGATTTCAAACTAAAATTAATACAAAACTGCTAGAACTAGATAACATCTGCAGTTTTACATATAACAACTGACCTTAGGACTCCATTCAGATCCATCCATCAGTTCTGGAACCTTTTTATGTGCTTTCTTGGATTTCTTCTGTGTCGAAGAATGCACTGGTTGTACAAATGGGTTTTTCTGTAGCATGCTCTCAACGTGGAGTACTTTCTGTCTATGTTTTTCAATCTTCCTCTTCACCGAAAGATCTGGTCAGACCAAAGCACACAAGTTCAGTTCCACTAACTAAAGAAAATGAGTAAGAAAACAGAGAGCATAAAACAAAAGAAAGGAACTGAACTGGACCACACTAGTAAGTATACTTATCAATCAGTGCCTATTTGACTCACTCCAGATTTCTATACAGTAATCAAACCCGGATTGAATACAATGAGATTCTTTCGGAGCTTTAAACGACGGATTGACTAAGAGTCTAATCCTTAAACAAAAATTCAAGCTAAATTCTATCCAAATCCAAGCATAATCTAGAAAATCTACCACTCTAAGGGCTGGTTTGGTATTGCTGTGCTTTGAAAAAAAAGCTGCTGTAAGAATAAGCGGCTGTGCTGTGAGAATAAGCGGCTGTGAAATAAAGCCAGTAGTGTTTGGTAAACTTTTTTGTGAAAGTGCTTTTGGAAAAAAAAGCAGGATGATAGTGTGTCTTTTCATTAAAGGAGCATTGTAGCTCCGTGTGCTTTGAAAAAACTGGCTTTTTTTCAAAGCAGCAAATAGCAGCTTCAGCTTTTCCTTTGATTTTCAGCTTATTCTCACAGCAGCTTCCAAAATAAGCTTTTTTTTTTTTCAGTTTACCAAACACAAAAATGACCCTCAACTTTTTTTCACAGTGGCTTTTTTTAAAATCACCTCAATCCCAAACGGGGCCTAAGGATTCCATTCTCTTTCCCTCCAAGCAAAATGGCCCTCATTTTCTTCCGCAAAAAAAAGAAAAAAAACAGTTCTTCGTAAAATATCAGAGTTTGTTTCACCATCACATGAAGTTAAAGAAAGCTCTTTTAACAGAAAATGCAGCAAACCAATCAAATTTACAACACACAATAATGTGAAATTCCAATAAAACTCTTCCATTTATTCGTTGGCTTCGTATTTCGATAAGTTTAAACCACAAACCCCAGCACAAAACAAATTCTAATTTCCGCACCAATTCACCTCACAAGTCCTTAGAAACCGAATTAATTCAATGTCAACCAGCTTGCAATTGCAGGAAAAGGGGATGATTGGAAACTTTGGAAAACCCAAAAGGCATGAAGGTAAAAGCACCGTGGTGGAGAAAGGAGGTACCTTTGGACTTGTCTTCGAAGAAGAGGGACTCGGCGGCGGCGGAGGCAAGAGAGCCGCCGGAAAGAGCGTCCTTGGTGGACTGCTCGAAGAAGTCGTGGATGTCATCGGTGCTGATGTTTGCCCTCCATGCCTTCTTTCCCTTCCTGGAGGTCTTGGCTTTCTTCCCCATACCTTTTCTCTCTGGTTCTGAGTTCCGAAGCGCCCTGCTTTCTCTGTGGGTTTAGGGAGTGAGTTTATAAACCCTAACGACTGAATGGGGGAGAGCGAAGTCGTTATTTCGCTGGTCTAACGAAAAATTATATTTTTACGTTAAAATCATACTATTTATTTTATTTTATTCTTATTATTAAAATTAAAAATTTTCAAAAAATTTCCGTTAGTTTTTCTTTTTTCTTTTTGCTTTTTTTAATTCTATTGAAGGCAAAAGCTTTTTATTATTTATTTATTTATGTGAGCAAAATAATATACAGAACATTCAAATTCGTTGTCGAATGCAGTGGTGGGCTTCGGAAAAGATGGTTCCGATAACAGAGAGACATTTCAAGGCATAAGCTGCCATTGTACTCCCTATGAGTCGGAATCACACCGAATTTGATCAATTTCTAAGAAAGCAGAAAGAAGGAATCACACCGAATTTGTATACACTCATCAGCATCTCAAAAGCAGTCGGGAAGTTAGGTGATCTTGACAAGAGCAAGATTGTTCACAGTTACGCATCTGAATTGGGCATGGAGTCCAGTGTTCTTGTAGGAACTGCTCTTATTGATATGTACGCCAAATGCAAGTCTTTGTCTGATGCCAGATCAGTTTTTGACTTGAATTTCACCAGTTGTAAAACCAATCCGCCATGGAATGCAATGATCTCTGGCTATTCACAGTGCGGTCACAACCAAGAAGCATTGGAGCTCTTTGTGAGAATGTGCGCAAACAATATAAAACCAGACAAATACACTTACTGCAGTGTTTTCAATGCAATAGCTGCGTTGAAATGTTTGCATTTAGGAAAGGAAATTCACTGGATGGTTTTAAAGTCCGGGATAGAAATGAAAGTTACAAGCGTCTCCAATGCATATGCCAAATGTGAGTTGCTCGAAGACGTACAGAAGGTCTTTGAAGGATAGAAGAGAGAGATTTAGTATCTTGGACAACACTGGTGACTGCTTGTTCACAATGTTCTGAATGGGAGGATGCACTGACAGTCTTCTCAAAGTTGAGAGTGTTGGTATTCAAAGTTTACTAACTCAATAACAAAAATATGTGGGTGATAAGTTTTCTAACTTTATCACACCTCTCACTATCACTCTTAATAAAATTGGACAAACGAAAGGAGAGAAGTAGCAAGCTTGTTGATAACAACACACTTTGAAATATTAGAAGAGGTTACAAACTCAATTGCTTACAAGCTGAAATGGAAATGAGATTCTGATGTAATATACTAAAGCCTTGCAAGAGGCTTAGTTATACATGCAAAAAGTGACAAACCACTAAAGTGCTTTTAATAAACAAATACAACTTGTCATGTAATGAATGATGGTGTTTACCATCTTTACACCCTTTCACACATAAACCACCTTTTGATGCACACACACATGCAACTTTTCTAAAAGTAGTTCAGCTATCACATGGCAGCACACTACTGTCTTGTAATCACCTTTCGGCTGACAGATGGAGGGAGTAATGATGTTTGTAGTTGTAGGTGAACAACCTGGAAAGAACTAACAACTAACTTTAATCATTGACAACCTGTTTTTATTTGAATTTCCAACAGAGAGAAAAAGGCTTTACACTAAACGAGTTTACCATTTCTAGTGTGCTTGTTGCATGTGCCAGCTTTTGTTTCCTTGAGTATGGTCAGCAAGTCCATGGCCTCCTTTGCAAGGTTGGCTTGGACACAGAAAAGTGTATAGAAAGTGCACTAGTCGACATGTATGCCAAATGTGGTAATATAGCTGAGGCACAAGAGGTCTATGAGAGGATTTCTGAACCGGATACAGTTTCATGGACTGCTATTATATCAGGCCATGCTCAACATGGGCTTGTCGAGGATGCCCTTGAACTCCTTAAGAGAATGGTGCAGATGGGTGTGAAGGCGAATGATGTGACACTATTGTGTGTTCTGTTTGCATGCAGCCACCGTGGTATGGTAAAAGAAGGCCTCAATCATTTTCATCAAATGGAAAAATCATATGGGGTGGTGTCAAAGATGGAACATTATGCTTGTATTGTTGATCTCTTAGGTCGTGCAGGCCGTCTTAATGATGCAATGGAGTTCATAGAAAGGATGCCAATTGAGCCCAACGAAATGGTATGGCAGACTTTGTTGGGAGCATGAAAATGTTGAGTTGGGGGAGATTGCAGCTGAGAAGATTCTTTCGGTTACACCAGAATCCTCGGATACCTATCTTCTTCTATCCAACACTTATATCAGGACAGGGAGTTATGAAGATGGACTTAGTCTGAGCGATGTGATGAGTGACCGAGGTGTGAAAAATGAACCAGGTTGTAGTTGGATTTCTGTGAAAGGTAGAATCCACAAATTTTATGCAGGGGATCAACAACATCCTGAAAAGCATGATATATACGCAAAGGTAGAAGTGCTGAGAGTGAAACTCAAATCCATGGGTTACATTCCAGATTTGTGTTATGTATTGCAAGATGTGAATTTGGTAGATAAAGGGGGATGCCTGGATGAGCTTGCTGAGTAGAAAAGATTAATGCCATCAATTTGTTCAATATTTCTTGTATAAGCATGTCAAGTAGGGGGACAAAATGTTCAGGTGTGGTATATATGATCACTCTAAAGAGAAGTGGTAGCAACTAAGAGCAAATGAATGTTTAGATGATAAAATTCCGAGGGCGGAAGTGCCATGTACATTCAATGATTTCTTTTTTCAGCTGCTCAGCTCTTCTTCATGCTTGGGAGCGGAGCATCGAGGTACATGCAGACTACAGATGAAAAACTATGAATGCCAACTAAATATCATTGTGCAATTAACTATGGTGGATTTTTGGCTTCTTTGATCACAGATAATTTTTCGGGCACAGGAGATGTACTCAAGGGGCTGTGTATAGGGTCAGGTAGCAGGATTGAGTTCATCGTTAAGGACCCTGGGGCTCACAACTATTCAACAACATCCACCGATACAAAGCTATTGAACCGTACAGCTGCACCGAATTTCATACCTCGTGATAAGAGGTGCAGAGAAAGGGGTATGCAACTTGTTCTCCTGACTTTGAGGAAAACCAAGTGGAAATCCTATTCTGAAGTCAGGCTTTTCAACTCATTTGTTTAGGGTTCAGCTTTGTTTTATGTAATGAGCTGGATAAAGGAGGTTGACTACTTTTCCTGAATTGTATATGGGGATGGGACATATTTTATCTACAACACTAAGTATTTACTGAAGGAACTCACATCAAAATATGAGTGAGGTTCAATCATTCATATCCACGAACTGCACCATGTGATGCAACTAATTCACATGTCATATTAATTGTGTCGTTCACTCATACTATATCTTATAGAGCAATACACCAACCATCATGTGATGCAGGCGCAGCAAATAGAAGCGAATTAAAATGATAGATATGATGGATATGTATTGTCCACTATCTTCTGGTGCGATGAGAGACCTGAAAACCCTAATAACTTTGATTCTAATACCAGCTTACGACGTCGACACTAGAAATAACAAAGCTGCAGACTCTTAAACAAGAGAAAGACACATAAAAATGAGTTTACAACTCAAATATCAATATGATAATTCAAAACAACATCCCCTTCTTCTTTGCAAATACAAGTATTTATAGGTTTACAACTTAAAGTGAGAAATATGAAAAGACAAAAAATAAAAAATAAAAAAATAAAGGCTTACAATATAACTCCCATAAAACTAAATGATTTCATAAAATGTCATTAACTTAGGAACTCCATAAGCCACAAATTTAAAGCTAGATCATGCATTATAACTAAAAAAATGCATGTATTATATTATAAAACTTAAATTCTAGCTATTAGTAATTTTATATAATAATGCTTTTAGTCCTTGACCTGAATCATCATGTGACGGTTTGGCAGTTACACTAACAAAATTTCTCTTAGAGTTTTTCTAGTATGGACCAGAGCATAAGATACACTAAGATCATTGAATATTCAATCTTCATCTACCAAATCACTAATCGCACATTTAGTTGTTCATTCACCTTGTGGTTGATGCTATGTGTAGTCTCATTCTAGAATTTTCCTTTTCTCTACAAGGTGGCTAAAAACTTTTTACTCTTTTGCTTCTCCAATCTCCAACCCAAAATCTCAACAGTGTCTCCTATCTTTGTGGGGCATAAAAAAATTTGATAGCAAAAACAGGACATGAACACTAAGAAAGGCAGCAATCTGTGCCTTTGAAACAGCAACCAAAATCTACAAAAAGACAGCAACCTAGCAGTTGAAAACACCCTTCCTTCTGAGATGTCTCTCTTGCTTTGCTTGTACATATATATACATAACATATATACATTATATATTCAGATACACACACACATCCATCTGGTCTTAATATTTCTGCCATCGCTGGGAGGATCTTTGCAGGTTCCAATTTACATGTGATGAACAAGACACACGTAGCTAGGGACACTCATATATGATGTATATGATCCATGTTTCTCTGCTTTGCTATGCTCCATGCAACTTTTACAAATTATTTGCAAATTATTTTCTTTTCTCATCACTGTAATTGCAATTATGTAACTTCGATGCCTACAACCAACTCCGTGACCTCTATTTTTATTTTATTTTATAATTTTTTATTTTTTGGTTTGTATAATTTTTATTTTGTTATCTGGGTCAAGATCAATGACTCAGTGCGGTTGATTGCTCAACTCTAAATAGAACATTAGGTGCCCTTTGTGACTTAAGGCCATGCATAAGGATATGCTACGAGTAATGTTAGGAAGAACATTTATTTAAATTATATTTTCTAAATCACATGATGTGGATATTGATAATTAAATTATTACTTAAGTGTTTAATTAACGAGCTTATTCTATATTTGTGACACATTATATGATTCATAAATGTGATCTAAATAGATGGTTTTCCTAGTGTTTTCATAATGCTATATATAGTCCATTGTTTTGTTTGTTGTAATTGATAGGTAGGTCACCTCCAAGATGATGAGTACATATTTCAAAAGAGAGTTTTTAGTGTGCCCGAAATACTGGCACATACGCTATATGTTATTATACAAGTGGACATAATCTATATATCTATATTCATCACTATATTCACCATATTCACCATATTCACCTCAATTTCAAAAAGCTAGAGCCAAAATATATATTGAATGCCCTAAACCACAAGGATGCAAAATGGGATGCAAATGTGACTGAACCTTAAATATATAGTACATGCCTCATATTGTATCACTATGGTGGCTCTTTCGATGAATGCTATGGATATTTTTTGAAGCGGTATTGCCCTTCTTGTGGAGACGAGTTGGTTGGTGGTTTTCTTTTCAGATTAGTTAGGTTTTAAATTTTTGTGATATCCCCGCTTCACACACTCGTGATGTCTTGCTACGGCAAGTTGATGTGGCCTCGCTAGTTTTAGTAATGGTTTGTGCTTGCATGTAATGTAAGATGTGTCTCATCTATTGTCTTTGTGGCAAATTTGTACCATTTGCACTATTTGCTCTTTAGCTCTTGTGGTAGCGCAAAATAAGGATTTAACTTATTTGTTGGTTGAATTTTCTAATTAATTAAGAACATATATTGCACAAATGAAAGTATAAAGGTTATTAATTTAAGAAGAAAACAATGCATGCCGATATCATTTTCCAAATATTTGGCAGAATATTATTTTTTGGCTTGAAAAAGGACAAGGCAATATAGCTGTATGAAGTCTCTTAGGCTGATTTGTTTGCATGGGTGCTCTCTCTGCACACAACAAGATTTTTACAGCAAAGCAATTTGTAGGCATTATATATGTAAGCTAAAAATTATGGAATGACGAAGTTGCGAGAATGACCTTTTTTATTCTTGAGTGTGTGGGGATACATACACAATGAAAATGACCTTTACTTCAGTCTATTTAACGAATTAATCATATATATATATATATGTAAGTATTTATGCATGTAAAGAGATGTTCTAGTTTGCAATTAACCGCATGTAAAGAAAATGTGGACATGCATTTGATATGTGATCTATATGTTGTCATTATTGTTGATACCGTTAATATTGTGCTTGAAAATTTAGTTAACAACAACGTAGAATGAATATATATATATATATATATATATGTATGTATATGTATATGTAAATCATGTGTATGTATGTGATATATCCAACCAAGAGAAGCACTTATCACTCAACTTTATACTTCAATTAAATTTTGTTTCCATTATCACACTTGCATGTGAATGTACTTTCCCGAAGTTCAACTCACGTGAGTTTTTGCTAGCAAGAGTCACAAGAATCCAATATATACATACTACTATGCTAAAGGATAATTTATTTATTAAAACAAATAAAATAATATTTCTTGGACACAATGTTTATGTATTTGTATGTGATAGTAACTATTTCTTGGGTTTTTTCGAAGTGAATTACAAAATTTTGGAAACATATGAAGGAGCACAGATTTGGTGTCAAGCTCTATGTGGTGATTGTGGCAAGGCTTGTCATTATATGAGTTTTTTTATTCCATTTTCAAATAATATGGAATGTCACGAGAATCATTTCTAAATAAAGTAATACTTTTATTGTTTATGCCATAATTAACTTTCATATCACTTTTCTAATTGAGATTATTATAAACAATTAAGAATTTTATTGTTGCTGTGATCTCACAAATACAACAGAGTTTAGCACGTAAATACGTTGATTAATTAATTAATTAAAAATAAATAAAATATAAGCACGATTGTCTTCGTCGGGTTTATACCCCCAGAGCATTCCATTATGAAACATGTGAATGAGAACACTCAAATCCTTAAAGAATCTTCTGCATCAACCTCCAACTTTTTGGCAACTAACAAGCCCTAAGATGAGTACGTAATATACGTTAATTTATCACCCTCAAATCGATGATAAAATAGAGCTTAAGATAATTTGCCTTGGGGTTCGAGGGCTGATAAAATAGAGCTTAAGATCCTTTGCCTTCGGGTTTGAGGGTGAGTCTGTGTCCGACATCGTCCTATCCGATAAATTAACATCGCCTAACCCTCTATTTACGTGTAAAATTAATCAGAATGAATTAATCCATCATCATCATCATCAACCGAATAGAAATTGCATGCATATATCCTCAGGTTTTCAAAATCAAGTAAAAAGGTTAAAAAAAAGGGGTTACAAAATATACCTGAGAAGAATTGGACAGCACCGAACAAATTAATAAAAAGAAATTAGTCACTTCAATTTGATAAAGAAATGCTAGCTAATAGGTTTCAAAGGTATCAAGACAAATTATTGCTTATCTGTTTTAACTTGTTTTTTTCCTACTTTTCTTCAGTATATTACGATACCGATAAACATCAGGTCACGCTCATTGGACAAACTTATTGAACTTCAATATTTCGATTCATGCCTTTCAGCGTATTAATTACAAGTGGTGGACATTTCATGTATGGGTGGTAAAACAAATTAACCCATTACTACCTGATATATCAGTAAGATTTATGAAAAATCAAATCAAGATTACGATGGATCTGTGTATATAATACAAAATCAAGGCACATGCAACCAAAACTAAGTGGGAAAATAATTGAGGGAAACCCTAATTCCTGGAAATAATTTTTATTTTTATTTTTAAATAAGCTAAAGGAAAACCCAGAAATTGATCATGGAATGTAGCAGGGAAGTGCACAAATTATACATTCTTATGGAGGGCAAGAGACAAGGGTTGGGAGCAGGGTATGTGTATGGAGAGTATTGTTTGGTTGTAATGATTAATGGGCACACATGTGAATAGAGTTGGTACGTGATTTGTCTCTGTGGCGAATGGAGACAATGCTCGAACCAACCAGGACTAGCCAGCTCGGGAAAACTCTTGCTCTTAAGCCTCCTATACATGTACATTTACATTACACATATATACACGTGGTGACTAAGTTTGATACATAATATAAAGGTCTCGTGATACATAAAAAGTACATATATATATTGATTGCAGATGGAAATTGGAATTATACTTGCATGCTTATTGGTATTTGGTGCAATGTTCTTTTTCCTCATCTACGTACCTGTCCATGGAAGTAAATATATTTTTGGAAATATTTGACTAATCCTTTATAAGTTCATGTACATGCATTGTCCAAAAGATTAATGAATTCCTAATTCAATTATATATAACTTAGTCTGATCAGCAAGTTGCAGTGAAAATTCATATATCCTGCAATGGATATAAATTATAAGTAGACTTGGATTAATGATTGATAAATATAAAGAACAAATAGCTAGTGAGAACAGGATGAAATCTACTGTCCTCATGCATAAATATTTAATATTATGAATCTATGATTGTATGTTTATATGAGTTTCAAAAAATTAAATTAAATTAAATTAAAAGGGGTATGATGAGCAGATATGAGCTTAACCAAGTTGGCCAGGTTGTATATATGTTCCTTTCCTTGCACTTAAGTTTGAATCATCCTATTTAATGTAGATTATTTCATCATTTGTCAAAAAAAGGTATAATTAATGAAATTGAGCTTGAAGGCTAGAGATGATGAGAAGGTAAAAATGGCACGTGTAGAGAGAGGAAGAGAAAGAAGGAGCGGACAAAAAGGGCAAACGGAGAGGAGGGGAAGAGGCTAAGCTAAAAAAACCCCCCCGTGAGGAGTGTTTGGAGGCATTCCAGAACTCACAAACTAAACATATATTTTGTTGCTTCTCTTCTCATGCACTTGTTTCGATGGCTCGATGGTTGGCCTATTCCACAAATCCACAGTTGCCACTCCCACCTGATCCCTCTATCTCCATCACGAGATTATGATTCCCCCATTCCTTCCCGCCCTTCACTTCTTTTTTTTCCCTTTCTACCCCTTTCTCTGTATCATTTTCCCATCTATATTCACTAATAATTCATAATTTTGGTGGATGCATATATATGCAAATATACATACATACATATATATATATATATATATATATATATATATATATATAATGAATATTCAGAATATGAAAGACAGAAACTCTGTTTTGTTTTCAAGCTTATATCCGACCCTAAATGTCTTCTAGCTTATGATCAAGTGGCCTTAGCTTTGTGCATATCAACTTGCAGACTACTCCAAAAACAAGCATGTGAAACTGATCACTCTTAATATCACTATTACTGTTTTTATCACCAGATACATAATATACAGAATACTTGGCCTTATAATTTAAGACATGTATATACAGGTAAGAAAGAAAACTTGGGTTTATAATTTGATTAGTAACTCGAAGAATATATACTATTCTTAAATTATTAATCTTTAGCAACTTTGCAGATATGATCTATGATTTTATGCTGAACAGCTTGAATATTATGTTGGAAAGTGCCCATAAATTATTAGTTTAGGACACCTGGCTTGGTATGCATTTCTTTAATCAAGGACATTAACGTGATCTTATATTATAAGGTGGTTAACTTAACTTTTATATCTGAAAATTATTCAGCAAGAATTGATGAATTCCACTTTATCATGTATATACATGATATGATGAATATGTGTGTTTCATGTTAAATTAAGTTGTGTAGTGAATAAATCATGTTGAATTCTACTTTTTCTGGAACCATTTGGTCTAGTGCATTGTTCTACCCAACAAATTAAGTAAACTTTAGGTTTAAGAAGCCTATTAGTATTAATATAATAAGAAGACATGATTAGTTATGTGCAATTAATCATCCCAAGGATTAACGAGGAATGTTATCCCTTGCCATGCGATGTAATATGGGCAAAAAAAGGAAACAATTTGTACTATGAAATAGAAGGGCATGTCAGTAATTGCAGCCAGAATCTATTATCTATAGTACATTAATAATTTGTTGTGAAAAAAATAAACTGAGGCAGTCATGTGCAGGGAAGAAAACAGGTGATCATATAGATTTGAGAGCTCATCGCCCTCTTATAAAAAGCTTTCAGAGCTTTTCAGAGACTTGTGTAAGGAAGAGAGAGAAGAGGGGCAAGAGAGAAAGCTGGTAAATCTGAAATATATATCGAATCCGATATCCTACTTTTTCCAGTTTCCATGGTTTCTAGGGAGCACAAGAGGGCAGCACTCTATGAGAAGCTGCAACTTCTTCGTTCTATTACCAACTCTCATGCTGTAATTCCTCCTGCTGCATTCATTTCTCAGGCTTTCCCTTTATCGTATTGGCCTAAATTTCTCCAAGTTTTATATATACTAAACCACACTTGTTCTTTCCATTAACACAAAATACAATTGGTTTCATTTTTGTGTTGGCTACCCCCTGAAAATATCTTATTTCTGCACCACTCTCTTGATTTTCAAACCGATGAAGAATTCATATTATAAGTCGACCAAGATTCATGGTCACCTAGCGACCAAGATTCATGGTCACCTAGAGACCAAGAATTCATGGTCATCCACCTTTAGATTTGATATCAAAGGTTGAGATTAGAACAACAAAAGCACGTCATTTATTCTTCACCTTTGATATCAAATCCAAGAGTGAGTGTGATTATACTGTTTCCTTGTTGCTTGATACCATGAGAACATTTATGTTAATATTATATATGAAAACAATTTATTTCTGTGGTTTGTTAAGCTTATCAAGAGAAACTGAAACAATATTATAAGTAGTATGCTGTGAGTCGTCAAAAGCTAAAAGTTCTAACAGTTAGTGTGTATGTTTGTCTCTCTGGTGGTTGCCATTCGATAGATATTCATTTTCTGAAAGATCTCAGTATCCCATATGTTATCTTGATTACGGTCGAACATTAGAATTAGATTAGTTTCTATTTGTGTAATTTACTTAAATCTATATATCTAAAGAGAGAGATCAATTAATTTGGAATTTCATTATAAGTAGCAAGCCGTCAGTTGTACCCATGGCAAGATGTTCTTACATGACAGTACTTCTTTAATTATCTAAATCTATGAGAGAGAGTGTGTGTATATATGTATACATATATGTTGATTATATATATATATATATATGCGCGTGTGCCTCTGTGTGTGTGTGTGTATGTTCATTATTGATATCATCAAATGTATATGACAGTATAGTTTTTGTTTGTGCATGTGTCGCAGCTAAACAAAACCTCAATCATAGTAGATGCCTCCAAGTACATTGAAGAGCTAAAACAAAAGGTGGAAAGACTGAATCAAGATATTGCAAATGCACAAACTACTTCTTCATCAAGTGACCAAAATCCGTTGCCTGGGGTACTTATACAGACAGAATTCACCCTTTTCCATATCTAGTACTATGATCAATTTAATCAGTATCCTTTTTAGTTGTATGGGTAGTAATATATAATGGAGTTTTAATATCAATTTAATAAGTATCCTTTTTAGTTGTATGGGTAGTAATATATAATGGAGTTTTAATTTGTTATAACTTGTACATGTCCTTATTATTCAGCAGGTTACAGTGGAAACCCTAGAAAAAGGATTTCTGATAAATGTGTTTTCTGAGAAGAGTTGCCCAGGTTTGCTTGTGTCTGTACTGGAAGCTTTCGAAGACTTGGGTCTCAATGTCCTTGAAGCTAGGGTTTCCTGTGAAGACAGTTTCAGGTTACAGGCAGTTGGAGGAGAAGTAAGACATTTCATTTCCTGTATATAAATAATTACTGCAAGAGAATTATATACATGTTAATGACAGCAACTATAAGGTTATTTCACTTTGATGTATAGAATGAAGAGGAAGGTGAGAGCATTGACGCGCATGCAGTAAAGCAAGCAGTGGCAGTGGCTATAAAAAACTGGAGCGAAAATACCGAAAATTCGTAATCAAGATTCGGTTGCTATATATAACTACCTATTTATGTTCGTGATGACGATGATGATCATTTTTCGCTTTCTTGGATAAATATCCTCGTTTGGCTTCTCTCTTGTTGTAGCTAGCTAGGTTGGCATGATGATGTTGATTATCAAAGAATTAATCAAGCTTCAAACAACTTAATTAGACGAGTTTCGTTGTAGTTGTAGCTATAGCTGGCTAGGATGGCTGACTGTGTTGATTATCAAGGAATTAATAAAGCTTTAAACAAAAAGAATAATTATTCAACTTCGGGTTTATCAATTCTGATTCTCTAGTTGATTAATATATTAGATGTTGGATTTTTGGATTAGCGGGCCCGTGGAGCCCCATTCTAACAATATCGATATTATTCTTAACTTTATCACATTCCCAATCCGTAAGGTGTAGGGTTTTATCACAAAAGACCTTGATATTAGTTAGAGTGGGGTAATCATATTTAAACCCCTTTGTTTTCTTTTCACCCACCGATGTGGGATTCCAACACTCCCCCTCACATGTAACCCCATTTAGTGGTTCACATGTGGAGATCCACACATATATGTCCTAATTGGTTTAGGATTGTTTTAGGAAAATTAGAGGCCGATTCTTGTCCTAGAGGGATTAGGAAATAATTTCAATTTTCCTTATTCAATTTAGGTTTGGATTTCTAAAAGTCAATTTGGATTTAGATAAGTGTAATTTTCTAGTCCACTTAGAAATAGGAATTCAATCAGCCTTGGGACATGTAAGCCGACCTTATGCCTATAAATAAGGTGAGGCAAGGCTTAATTTTTAGAGAGAAAACAGCCAGAGACAGCCGAGAGTTTTAAGATTAGTTCTAGGGTTTGCAAAAGTTCTGTAATCTCTATTAAAATCAAAGGAGCGGTGATTTCTCTACCTAGAGAAATCACAATTGGACGTAGGCAAAAGTTCTGCCGAACCAGTCTAATTCTTGTGTGTTTCTAAGTTTTTTTATATTTGCTAGTTTAGTCTATTGCCATTGGTTACATTAAAGAACAAGGTCTAGTGGGCGTGGTTTTCAACAATTGGTATCAGAGCTAGGATCAAGGTGTTTTACAATGTTAAAAGGGAAGATGAATGCGGATCTAGGACCTGCGTTAAAGCCCTTTGACGGTAAATGACTTCACGAACTGGCAAATGATGATGAAGAACGTATTGATACAGCAGGATTTGGACGATGCACTCGATGGTGAGAAGCCGGAAAACATAACAGAAGCAGCATGGACTAAGGTTCTCAAAAAGGCCAAGAGTTCCATTGAGATCCATCTCACAAGATCAGTTCGGTCACACTTCACCGAAAAAATGACTGCCCATGAAGCATGGGAAAAGTTGGAGAATGTTTATATGGGCAAAACATTGTCCAATAAGCTTTTTTCTAAAGGATGAACTATTCGGGCTTCGACTAGAAGAATGAGGTGATATTGAAGATCACGTATGCAGATTCCAGAATTGTATAGCTAATCTTCAGAAGGTTGAAGAAACTTACAAAGATGATGATATGGCTATCATCTTGCTGAGGTCTCTATCTTCGTCTTTCAAGCATTTTCGAACATCTCTAATGTTTGGAAAAGAGTACCTAAAGCTTAAAGACGTAATTCAAGCTCTTTAGTCATATGCTAAACTGGATGATATAACTGAAAGCTCTCAAGGCCTTTATGCCAAAGGCAAGGAGAGGGGTGGGAAAAGACAAAGGAAGAGAAAATCGGCAACAGAGGTAGGTCAAAATCCAAGAAGAAAAAGGAAAAGAAGAAAGGTTGCTTCGAATATGGTTCAGCCGATCATTGGAAGAGGAACTGCAAGATTTGGAAAGCCAAGATGGAAAGAAGTTCAGGTTCAATTAGTGCAGTCACCGAGCATGTGAGTGACGGGGAGCTTCTTTCAGTAACATCGGGCTCAAAGGCTTTCACAAATTGGATTTTGGATACTGGATGCACGTTACATATATGTGCAGTAAGAGAATGGTTCGATACTTACAAGGAAGTCAGCAGTGATGAAGTCTAGGGGACGATTCTTCATGTCCTGTAAGAGGAATCGACACTGTTCGAATCAGAATGTTCGATGGGATGATATGAGCTTTGGAGAATGTCAGGTATATCCCTAGACTAAGAAAGAATTTGATTTCCTTAGGTACTTTAGATGAGGCCGGTTATGGGTACAAGTCTAAAAAAGGAAAACTCAGGGTAACCAAATGATCGTTAGTGGTAATGCGGGGTGACCTACAACCCAATAAGTTGTATAAGTTAATTTGGGACCACTATAGTCGGGGGAGCAGCTATTTTTGTAAATCAGAGTGTAGAAGACAAGACTGAACTCTAGCATCATAGGCTCGAGCATATAAGCTAGAAAGGGTTGTAAGAATTACACAAGCAAGGCATGTTGGAAGGTGTGTCATCTTGCAAACTGAACTTTTATGAATACTGTGTTCTCGGAAATCAAAAAAAGGTATCATTTGTAAGTGGCAGTATTGATAATCGAATCAATGAGTAACTCAGCTATATTCACTTAGATGTTTGGGGCCATATACCAACTAAATCAAATGGTTAAGCCAGGTATTTTGTTACTTTCATGGATGATTTTTCTAAGAAGGTTTGGGCTTATTTCATGAAGCAGAAATCTGAGGTTTTTACAAAGTTCAAGGAATGGAAAACAGAAACCGAGAATCAAACTGGAAGAAAGATCAAGTACCTGAGAAGTGATAATGGAGGTGAATATACAAGTAATGAGTTCACCGATTACTGCAAGCATGAAGGCATCATAAGATACTTCACAGTAAAGAAAAATCCCAACAAAATGGAGTTGCTGAGAAGATGAACCGAACTCTCATAGAGAGAGAAAGAGAGAAGAACATCTGATTTCATGCAGGATTGCCTAATAATTTTTGGGCAGAGGCTGTTAATCATGCAAGTTATTTGATTAATAGGTCACCATCTACAATTCTTGATTTTAAGAGTGCAGAAAAGGTATGGTCTGAGAAGCCGGTGGACTATTCCAAGATTAGGGTGTTCGGCTGTAGTGCATGTGCACATATTCCAAGTGATGAAACGTCCAAGCTCGAACCGAAGTCTACACATTGTATATTCTTAGGTTTTGAGAAATGAGTTAAGGGTTTCAAGCTTTGAGATTTCAACAACAGCAAAAAGGTTGTTAGTCGAGATGTTGTCTTTGATAAGACAACCATGCCTCTGAATAAAGTTGATAGCAATAGGGAGAAGACGGACGATGCTGAAATTGAAGCAACAAAGATTCCATTAATCAGTTCAGATGAAAAAGCTCAGGTGGAGCAAATCGAGCAAAAGGCCAAATCTAATGGTTTTGAGGAAGAAGAAGAGCATCAACATCGTTCACCAGTTAGGAATTAGGTGGAGAAAGAAACATGACATATTGAAAGCACTCAAATCCGCCAAACATTCTAAATGGTTCAAACTCCAACCAACAATCCACCTGCATTCCAAAGATGCATAACACTGGACAAACCTAATCGGAACAAGAAGAAACCTGACATATTTGGGTTTGACCAAGACGAAGTTAATTATGCTCTTAACATTAGTCAAGAAGATCTGACTACTTATCGAGAAGCTATAGCAAGTGATGAGCGAGATAGTTGATAAGTGCTATGATAAAAGAAATGGAGTCTTTTTACAAGAACTCTGTTTGGGAGTTGGTTCCTAAGCCCAAAGACAAAAAGCTAGTTGGATACAATAAGGTATTTAGGAAAAATGAAGGACTACATGAATAAGATGCCGTGAGATTCAAAACGAGGCTCGTGGCTAAGGGGTACTCATAAAAGGAAGGGGTGGATTATTATAAGATCTTTTCACCTGTAGTCATGTAACACCCCGCCCTGAATAAATTCTTTATTCGGGAAATAATGTTATTACTTTTGATAGACCCAACCTAAAAATCATGTTTAGTTGTTTACCATTAATTGTTTATTTTCTAACATATTCAATCCACTAATCCTTACCTTAAATTCAAAACCGACTAAGAAAGTAAAACTCAAATTATTTACTAAATTTCTTCCTTTAATTCTATGTCTTGTTTCCGACCTTGATTCATAATTAAAAAGATTTAAACATCAACGTACAAATTTATTCTCATCTTGTTTCTATTTCCTTTTATAACACACTTCTCATTCTAAGAATTATTTCTCGAGTTATTTAAGGCTGCATCTAACACTGTTAGACTGCCTACGTACCCTGGAGCGGGATCAAGCCTTTCGTAGTTCACATATTCCAAAATTAAACAAAATCTGAATATATTTAGTTAAACCAAAATCGTAATAATATTCAAACCACAGCAATTTTGATCTTAAAGACATAATTTGAATAACGAAATTCGCATAAAAAGTAATTGTCGACTTCCTGGCCGTGCGCCGCCGCGGGTGGCGGTCGGCCGCCCCGACTCGCCGGAAACTCAACTATTTCTAAAAATTACCAAAAATTACAGTAATGAAGATCTCAATGCGTAGAGTAACCTTCATACCTGTGACCAAGGGCAATTTAGCCCGGAAATGCTCCAATTTGCCTTAAATCCGCCGGGAACCCTAGAAATGGGTGTTCTTGATTCGACTCCATAGCAGCTCCGACGCCCCAAACCTTGTTTGGGCTTTATTCCTGAGTTCTTAAGGAACATGTGGGTGGTGAAAATTGGGAGAGTTTGCTTCAGATTTGGTGGATCGCCACCTATGAACTCGCACACCCCCTGTGGGGGTTTGCACAGTTTCAGAGCCAATATCTATTTAATTTATGATAGAATCAGTCAAGGGGAGGTCATTGAACCTTTTTAAGATGGTTTGGTAGCATAATTCGTCGGAAAAACCGATGAAAAGCCACCAGAGGAGGTGGAGGTGGAGGAAACCGGGTCGGGTTGATGACATAGAACCGGGTCGAAGGATCCGGTGCACTTCCTTCCTCTCCTTTCCCCTCATTTCTATCTTTTCTCATTGGTCACTCTCTCATCTCCCCCTTTCCTGATTGGCTCTTCTCTCCCTCCTTTCCCTCATTTATCCTCCATCTCCACCGCCTAACCCTTTTTACTTTTAATCTAGGCCACACACGTGGCCTTCCAGATTTGGCTCCAAAAATCTGAAGCATCCTATAAAAGATAAATTTACAATTGTACCCTCGACTTTAAGCGTTAATAACTTCTTCGTTATATCTCCAAATTACGTTCCGTTTGCGTCTACGCGTTCATGAGATCGGGCTTTATTCAAAAACATAAATTTTGACCTTGAAAGGTCTACTAATTTTCAAAACTTAATA